AGGAGGAGGAGCAGGAGGAGGAGGAGGAGAACTCCCTCTGATGTTTTTAGACATGACTCCATCACATGCAGCGACTCTCACTCTGAGCTCTCAGTCGACATTAACACTTTGTTTGGTGTCTGCAGGAAAATCCCTGAAGGAGGAAGAACAGATCAGCTTCCTGGTGCCGGGAGCTGAGCCCTCATCTTCATCTCACTCCTCTTCATCGGTGTGTCTCCTGCGTCATGGCCGGAGCTCTGAGGTACATGTCATTAGCGTGATGATGAGGAAGAGGAAGAGCAGCGTCCACAAACATGTCTGAGGCTTCATGCACACGACTTCATTTCCAAACTAAAACCGTCTCTGTCCACGAACTGAAAACACAGATCACATGACTGCTCACGTGCACTGGGCATGCACGTGTCAGTGTAAACAGCTGTAATAACATCTGGTCTCCTCCGTGTAAACAAACTGAACATCAGCTGTTAGCAAAGACCCCAGGGTCAGTAACTCTATTCTCCATGTTGTTTCTACTCTGGGAGCCATGTGACTGGGGGGTCATGTGACTGGGGGGTCATGTGACTGGGGGGGTCATGTGACTGGGGGGTCATGTGACTGGGGGGGTCACGCAGGTTTCTGTGATGTCACACAAACACTGAGCAGGTGAATCAAAGTTTCCTCGAGTTGAAAACAAATGTAGAAAAACTTGAGAAGCTGAAACCTCATGAGGTCCCAGAGAAAACTCGTGATTCAGAGTTTAAAGTTTCCATCTGAAGCTTTGATCGAGGGAAAGCTGCTTCATTTGATTTCCTGTTGGTGGCAGATCATTTATAATCACATCTGTTTCAGACTTCAAGAGCTTTTTTCATCATTTGATAGATTTGATGTATTTGAACATTTTTTTCAGTATTTTTTCCTGTAAAAGTATAAAAAGCAGAATTCACGAAACCTCATCGTGTTTGTAGTTTGTAGTTAGTAGTTTGGAGGTTGGTTTGTTTATGGAGAGTCAGTTGTGATAAACCTAAAGAGGAACATCGTCTCTGTGTGAACTGTTCCAGAGATGTGCTGATATATCTCACCTGAACCTCCGTCCCCCAAAATGTCTGTGCACGTCTCTGCTGGTGCATCGGCTGTAGCTGCTGTTCAGATAGAGAGACCCCCAGTGGCAGTACAGGACATACCATGCTCGCTCGCTCTCTCTCTCTCTCTCTGTGTCTCTCTCTCTGTGTCTCTCTCTCTCTGTGTGTGTCTCCCTCTCTCTGTGTCTCTCTCTCTCTCTCCCTCTCTNCTCTCTCTGTGTCTCTCTCTCTCTCTCCCTCTCTGTCTCTCTCTCTCTCTCTGTGTGTCTCTCTCTCTCTCTGTGTCTCTCTCTCTCTGTGTGTGTCTCTCTCTCTCTGTGTGTCTCTCTCTCTCTCCCTCTCTCTCTCTCTGTCTCTCTCTGTGTACTTGTCAGCAGTAGTGACATCATCAAGTGTAGCCCCTCCCCCTCTGCGCTGATCTGGAATTCTGGGGGTTTTCCTCAACGCTGCCACTTCCAGGAAGTGACTGAAAACAGACAAGGGGAGGGAGGGTGGTAAAACGACACCGATACACAGTGGGAGAGAGAGAGAACAGAGAAGAAGAAGAAGAAGAAGAAGAAGAAGAGTTTTTCTGTCATGAAGCCGCTGCAGGTTTTTCTTTATTCGTTGTTTCTCTGTTTGTCGCCGAGGTTTTAAAGTGAGTCAGGTCACACACACACACACACACAGACACACACACACACACACACACACACACACACATAGACACACGCACACACACACAGACACAAACACAGACATACTCACTTCCTGTGTGTAACCGTTGAGTTTAAATCCTCTTGTATGTGTGTGTGTGTGTGTGTGTGTGTGTGTGTGTCTGTGTCTGTGTGTGTGTGTGTGTGTGTGTGTGTGTGTGTGTGTGTGTGTGTCGTTACAGGATGAGTGAAGCTCAGTACATCAACGTCTACGATAACGAAGTGAGTCCAGATTTATTTTCATCTGTCACTCGTCACATGTTCTGAATGATTGAATCTCTCAATAATAATAATTTATTAACATGTTTGAAACAGACAAAGAAATCAAAGTGTTTGTTGTTCTTCTTACTTTAGCATCGGTTGCTTGTAAAAGAGTTTGATCAACACGTCTCTCTGCTCAGGGACTTAAAGTCACATCCGTTTCTATAAATTCAGTTCAATCTGCAGAAAATTCCCATTCGTGAAGAAACAGACTCAGTGACGCTGCAGAGACGTGAAATCGGTTTGAATCAAAGAACAAAGATGTGATCTGTGTCTTCTGTGTAATGACCTGCAGGGGGCGACTCCTCTGGTAGTTTCTATAGACGTCTATAGAAAATGTCTCAATAACCATAAAGCACGGGGTGTATTGTTTGTATGTGTGTGTGTGGGGGGCCACAGTGTGATTGACAGCTAGTACCGTCCAATAGGTGCAGGTGTAGGTGGGTGTACTCTCAGTCAGGCCCCACCCCCACCCTTCCAAATATGGTTACTACTGGTTTCAACAAACCAAGATGGCGCTGAACAAAATGTCCAACTGAGGCTTCAGAACAGCGGCTGATGGTCGACACCTGCTGGTGACATGTGACTCGACGGCAGCTGTTAGCTGTTAGCTGTTAGCTGTTAGCTCCTCTTTCACTTATAAAAATAGTCCATTTGATTGATGGTTGATTTTAAGGAGCTTTGTTGGAAACATCTTTTTTCCTCTTCAGCTGCAGTTGAACCTGATGCCGTACGACTACATCCCTCCAGTGGACATCAAGACCGAACCCTACATACCTGAGACAGGTACGCAGGTCAGACAGTGACATCATCACTGGAGCTTCCTGTAACACAGGCTGAAAAAGTTTCCTCATTATTCATCAGAGCTTTAAATGAGTGAATGATGGAAACCACCTCCTGTTTCCTTCTCACTGCGTCTGAAGAACATGGAGACCAATGAGGCTGCAGCCGGAGAAATAGTGAAACTTGTTGTTCAGTCGCTGTGACGCTGATTAACAAACACTCGTTTCAATGTGTTTCAGCTCACGGTCCCTACATTCAGATCATCGAGGAGCCAAAACAGGTGAGACTCACATTTGTGATAATTATACAAACTCATTCATATGATTCATAATTCCCCAAATCCATTATTGACATAAACATTGGATCTCCTAAGCACAGCAGGATCCACCTCTGCACTGTTTTATATCTGCAGACTCATCACAAACACCACCGCCACTAATCTTCTATGAATTATAAATTAAGTTATATAGATCCGGCCTGTGTCTGTTGATCTTTATCAGTTCATCTGCAGGTTATTTTCTTGGATAATTGATGGTTTAGAAAATATCAGAAAATATTGTAACATGCGAGATGATTCTTTCTGAATATTTTAAAAACCTGAATGAATCAAGTATTTCACTTGTTGCTTTGAAATGTCCTGAACTTTCT